ATGATTAAGGCCCGACAGAAGAGGTGGATTCTGTAGTCAATGTAGATTGGAATAATATTTTGCAGCAACAAGTGTATGTTTATTTTGTTGATTCTGATTTTAAGTTCTTTCGTAGGCATTTTTCTTCTGTACAAATAAATAAATAAATGTTTTATTTTTGTCATGTGTACATATATTTTTTTATATCAAACCTAAAAAATATTGGGACACCCTCAACTGACCTTGCCCCACGTGTCGCTAAATATTTGTCTAGCCACGGCCCTGGGTATAGGAATAGGTATACAGTAAGAATAGATATACATACGTATACAAATAAAGACAATATATATATAGAGAGAGACATAAACAGATAGTGATAGATGGAGAGGTTGTCAGCTACTCGTATATCTGTAAAACACTTGTGATTTTAAACCTATATCTCAGTCGTGAAAAAAGTGTCAAGGTGTCACCAGCAATTTCTTAAAAGAGTGACAGGTGACACTGGCAGTAATTCAGAAGTGGCAAGTGAAAGGACAAGATCAAAGGGACAATTTTCATCCTTGCCGAGTTGTACGGTGACGTCTGTGTTTGTTCTTTTCATTATATCTATTTATATATTTGTATTGACTGCGGATGAAATGCCGAGTTTCATTACACTAAGGACATTCATTTGACAACAGACGAGATAAGTAAATCGGAATGTGTATTCTCAAGTTCCTATTATAAAGACATGCATACTGTCATTCTGCCTGTCACTGTCTCTACCTTCCATCTATCTGTGTCTGTCTCTCTCTCTCTCTCTCTCTCTCTCTCTCTCTCTCTCTCTCTCTCTCTCTCTCTCTCTCTCTCTCTCTCTCTCTCTCTCTCTCTCTCTCTCTCTCTTGCCGGAACCCTAAACTCCAGCTTATTTCTACTACGACTCGTACAGTGTCTTTTCATGACAGGAGGTGGTCCTGCACGTGGCGGCGGCGGTGACCAGACCAACAAGCAGACGTCGGGCAGCAGCTGCAGTCGTGGCTGCAGCGGTAGTACTGGCTGCGAGGAGGACGGAAGAGAGGAGGGTGAGAACTGATAAAAAGGATGAAATACAGGAGGATGTGATAGGAGTCGTGTGGACGAGCAGAATGGAGGGAAAACGTTGTGGTAGTGAGGGGGTGAACAAAATATATATGAATACATGAAGACATGGTAATAAGCGTGAGAGTGTGAATTACGAGTGTGTGACGAGAGAGGAAGATAGAAAGGGGAAAAAAGATTATTAGGATTATTATGTGTATGTAATATGAGTAGACAAGGACCTTTCATTTATCATATCCCCAATTCTACATTCATATTTTTGTAAGTTATTTTCTTACGATGAGTCATTCATATTATAATCATTCTCCCTGCAGGGAAGAAGGCTATACTCAACATTGTATCAGTTATTTTTTTCTTATTACACTCCTCACAGGAAGAGAATGGGCGCAGAAGCAGACAAGGCAACAATCGTGACTTCATGGAACCTGATGTATGTGATATCGTAGTACCTAATGACAACCATGACGAAATTATTAATCCTGATGATGTTTTTGACAGTGGTTTAATTTCAACTGATGTCAACAGATACGTATAATATCCTGGGTGAATCATATACGTTGGCATTACATGACTAACATGCTCGCAATGCTATATTTGAGATTTGGTATCGTGGGACATCGTCATGTGGATGTCCAAGACGATATTTTTTATTATGTGATAAAATATCCGAGATGACGTGAAGAAATATAATAATCTCCAAAATGAGTTTGAAATGTCTGTGATGGAGCCATACATTCAGATAATTAGCAAGGTATGCGTTTTATCGTTATTATATACTGATTTTATATGACCATTATTACACATCAATGGTCGTGTTTTATATCAGCTAATAATAAACATGAATACATTTATACTTTATCAAAAATGAAAGCAGTTCAATGTGATTTCTTTTGACTGTGTACCCGATTTCTACAGGTTACGTGATGCTGATTCTCGGAAGCTAATATCTATAAGGTTAGAATAGACTACATATGTATATGGTTAAAGAACACAATCAGAAGGCATCAGGCTCCAAAGATTAAGAACATCTCTATAGACAAGAACTAATAAGGTAGTTGAGGGCAGATAGCATTTCTTTACTTAATAAGGTATACATATATATTTATTTTTCTTTTTTTTGTAAACAGAAAACAGTACATTAATTTAGTTGACTGTTTATATATTCAGTCATGGCAGCAAAAACAGCAACCTTATTGATAGTGCTCATAAAAAAAGAAAATAAGAAAATGGGAAAAGATATGATAAAACAAGAACTTATTGACGTGTGCAATATAGTTCATGTGAGAATGTGTTAGATACTTTTCAACCTGAAAATTGGCATATGATTTTGTTATTCATGTTATGTATGATATTTTTTATACACTTTGATATGTCAGTTTTATTTTGTAATATTTGTAATTTTGTTATTTTGTAATTAGGATCTCAGACATTTCAAAGTAATATTTCTTTGGAGATATTTAAAATTAGAATTGTTAAACCTGTTGCACAGTACATCAGATAATGGAAGTGTACAAGAAAAGAAAATAAATAAATTTATAGTAAGTACCAAGATGTTTTCCTATCCTCAAAACAAAAGTTCTAACTCTTCAGATGGCATCCACTGTAAGCAGGGTTGAAAGAAACGTTTTTATAAAATCAAAATACAAAAATATCGACACTATCAAGCATAAGCTTATCACTTTTTTCAGTCAGGAGTGTTTTGGAAAATTCTTCTTTTTCATCATGAATCCGTGGCTACTCCTGAAATATTTAACACTTCCTTCATGTATCATAAACACAGCTTTCTCACGAGGGAACCTGTGTTTTTTTCTGCAACAAATATAAAACAGCAATATTCATTTTATTTTTGCTGCATCAACATCTAAGGTCATTTACAGCATATTCAAAATACAGCAAGGGGGGGGGGGGGGGGGCAAAGACCCAAGTATAAGCATCATGATAAAGTATTGTGGCAATAAGGGTAAAAATGAATTAATAACTAGGATAAATGGACAGAAGAAGGTAAGGAAAAGGAAAGGAGGAAAAAAAAGACCATGCAAAATTTGATGTGGTAAGGGCTGAGGTCAGGGTTGATCCCCTAAATTGTGCCTCAGTTTCCATCTCCTAAGACCCCCCACAAAAACAATGAGCAAGGGATTAGGTGGGGAGCAGCAAAACAAGTACTATAACAGTCTCACTTCACAAGAGAAATACCCTTATATATATATATTATGAGCTGTCATTATAATATCCACATGAACTCATTCATGCACAACTTATAAAATCTGCACAATATATTTAGCTAGTATTTTAAAAAAATGAACACCCCTGGCAGTCTGTAAATGCAAGTCAACAGAGTACAGGAAAATTGTATAGCTGGCCAGAAAAACATCTGAAATCACCCTGAAAGCACAGATATTAAGAAAAAAATGGATCAATAGGGGGGAAACAAAAACAGCATTAAATATTTAAATCATTTAACAACACACACACAGTTGGTAAACCACTGCGATACATATTTTCCTAAATTTAAAATTGAAATAAATAGATACGTCAATAAAATATGGTACAGAGTAGTATTTTTCATGAACACGCAGAAGCAATTCACAGTTAACAGTGCTGTGAATGTTAATTAACCATATTTTAATTACAAAATAATACATCTCCTTACAGTAATACCAGGAAGCCCACTCAAAGAGATTGTCATGATAGAAATAAAATGGAATTACATAGCCACACATACACCAGAGGGTATATGAATCAATCTGATGCTCTCATAACTGAAATGGCACCATCATTATTGATATGATATAATTGTACCTTAAAAAAAAAAAATAATAAATAAAAAATACACATCTATATCTTCCTTAGGCATAAATACTGAGAAGTTCCAAACAAAACATTCACTCATTTTTCTCTTATGCCTCAGTCATTACATTCATTTAAATATCTTTCTCAATAAAACAGAGAATGCAACTATACTCAATCCACTTAGCACAATCCTCTCTGAGCCGCCAATACATAAAAGACAGAAAGATGAATTCTGTCGATGCTTCTCAAGACAACTGGATCTTTCTGTGCTGTTTTCTGGGAAGTAAAGATACTCACCAACTGTAGCACCTGAGAAATTATTGTTACCAGGGGTTTAACACACTAACACACCTAAACCAACCTAACCAAAGATACACACTTTAACACACAAACACATCTTTCAAAAGGTACACAATTTTAACACATGAATACATCTTATGAAAGAAACACACTTTACCAAGACTTCAAATGACTATATTGTGGTTACTGTTGGAGTTATATCTGTAAATTATGTAATTAATAATGCAAATTCAAGTGAAGTTAAAAACTACTGAATATTTATATACAAACAATTAACAATATACAAATAATGTAGCAATTTGTAAGATCATTTTTTTTCTATATTTCTGACTGCAAGTTCCAGTTCTAAATTTTGCCAGAAAGTCTTACATACACCTAATTTACAAGATGTTATATCTTATAACACTGAATATACAATATTCAGCATATTAGCTAAAAAGTGTTGAACTTTTATGCCCTCATTTGCAATAATACAAATGAAACTGAAAACTAAAACTTAATTGTCTTACAAGGAAGCAGAAATATACTATGCATTTTGGAAATCATTTTACTTACTTAAAGCTTACAAAAAAGAATAGGAAGAAAAACATATCCAATACCATACATACATTCTCCTCAATATCTTGATTTATATCAATATTTTTTTTTTTTTTTTTTGTTCTTTAGAATAATATTATAAGCTCCACATGTATGGAATGTTTATAAATAAAAAAAAATCAAACTCTTCTTTGCAAACAAAGAAATAAATTACCATTCACACAAAGGAAAAACAAAACAATAACATTGCCATCTGAGAGTATCACATTAAACCCATTCTCAGTACTTGGCAAAATGACAAACTCTCAAATCATTTT